CACCTTTATTTTTTTGAGACATCATCTCACTAAATTGTTCAAAGAGATCTCAAATTTGCCATTCTCCTGCCTCAGCCTCCCAAGCAGCTGGGATTACAGGCATGTGCTACTGAGCCTGTCCAACCTTCCAACCTTGAAGAATGGAAAGAAAGAGTGAAGAGGGGTGGAGGTACTGTTTTGTGTTTTCTTTTTAGCTCATAGGTGATTCTACTGGGTAATCATTTTGAAGGTTTTCAAGCTTATTCTCTAGGGTTTCCTAGACAGATGATTATATCATTTACATATAAATTTGTCTTCCTTTCTCCTCTTTATGCTATTTGTCATGGTATAGATCTAAAATGACCATCAAAAGTCTAGGGTTCAGCCAGGTATGATTGTGCATGCCTATAATTCCAGCACTCAGGAAGCTGAGGCAGGATCACCGTGAAATCAAGGACATCCTGAACTACACAGTGAGACCCTGTCTCAAAAAAAAAAAAAATTCAGGGGCCAGGGATTTAGCTCAGTGGTTCCACCGCCTGCCTCATAAGAGCAAGGTCATGAATTCAATCCCTGGTTCCTCCCAAAAAAGTGTTATCATATAGCTAGGCATGGTGGTGCACACCTGTAATCCCAGCACTCAGAAAGCTGGGGCAGGAGGATTGCTGTGAGTTTGAGACCAGCCTGGGCTACATAGTGGTGGGTTCCACATTATAGTGAGACCCTGTCTCAAAAAAAAAAAAAAAAAAAAAAAAAAAAAAGTCTAGGGTTCAGAGCTGAGGCTTTTGGAAGATAATCGGATAGTGGGGGCATTGAATGTGCAGTTAGGAGGTGGGACTTGGTGGGTACAGACAAGTCAGTGGGGATATGATCTGAAAGGGAATATTTTTGTCCTGGCTTCCTTGCTGCTGTGGATTGAGCAGCATTCCTCTGCCATGCCTCTCTTCCAATGATGCTTTGGCCTTGAAGCTAGCCAATCATTCACTAAATCTCCTAAAAACTGTGAGCTTTAAAAAATAAACTTTTCCTTCTTTAAGTTGTAGGTGTTGTGTATTTTGTCCCAATAATGAGAAAGTGACTAGTACTCCACTCATTTATCATATTTTACTTATCAGAACAATACATGCAAATGGTGATGCCAGTCATTTATCCTTGTTAGGTTTGTCATGTTACCCAGGCTGCAGTGGGCTCAAGTGATCCTTGGCTAATCTAACCAGGGTATGCTTCTAATGTTTCAATATTAAGTATAATTTCGCTGTAGAATATTAATTGCTACCATGTATCAAACAGAAGTTACTTTTCTGTCAGAAGCATTTCTACATAAATTTTGGGGAAAATCATTTCATAAAGTATGACTACAGCAGCTGCTTAAGGCCCAATGTTGCCTTGCCCAAGAGCCAACTATGGCATTGGGAAACATAACTCCATCTTGCCTCAGGTCACAGCTGAGGCCACCATGGTCTATGAAGCTGTACCACTCAATGGCAAGTAACACCGACTGAAGAAATCCTGGTTCCTCGAGAGCCAAGTAGTAATGCAAAAGAGAAAGGTTTCACTTGGGGAGGGTCACAGTTCCTTATCCACCCAGCTCATTCCACCTGAAGTGAGGATGCTCTCCTTTCCACGCTCATCAGCATGAGACTTGCATTGGCAAGGGATCAGACATAAAAGCACTGCTGCATGCCTGCTGTGCCCTCCAATTACTATGTGTACCCAATAAATAGTGGCCAGTTCAGAGTCTTTTTGTCTTTGCCCACTCTGAGGCACTGACACCCGGCTGCCCATATACTTTGAAATTACACAAGTCTCTACTGTATTTTTATTGTCTTTAGCCCTCGCCATCCTCCACTGTAGGCAGTAAAATTTTCCTCCAGTGAGGAACTATTATTCTTTCCTAGGAGAAACACTATCACACCATTCATGTTATCAAATTATTTCATTTATGAATTTAACAGTTAAGTTTATAATAAAATGGTTTTCTCATGCTACGTACTTTTGTCAAATTTTGGAACTAGGTTGTCCACATTTGGGCACTTATTGCTAACATGCAGTAATTATGCCCTATCTTTTTCTACATTCTTAGATAATTTTCAACGGGTACTACCAGTTCCTTAGAGGTTTATGAGACTGGACTTTCCCATAAAATCATCTAGTGCTTTTTGGTAAAGAATCTTTTACTACACACACTATCTTCTTCTGTGATTATTGATTTACTTCACTTTTCTATTTCTTTAGAGTACTTCAGTTAATTTCTATTTTTAAGCTTTCAAATGTTGGTAAAACTGGTATACAGTACTCATTTATAATTGTGAAACACTTTTTCTCTTTTTACTTCTCCTTGTTCTCTCCCCTAAATCCCTTTTCCCATCTGTACTAAGTTCTATCTCACTGTTTCCTCATATCTATCTTTTATTTTGTTCTTTAAGCTATTTATACTGTGGGTTTCTCATGTAAGAGAAACCATGCACTACTTAAGCTTGTGTGCCTGATCTGTTTCGCTTAACGTTATGGTCTTGAGGTACATCCACTTTCTTACAAATGACTTGAATTTCTCTCTCCTTAAGGCAGAGTAGTAGCACTCCATTGTGTGTAAATACCACTTTTTACTCATTCATCTGTTGGTGGGCAAGTAGGCCCCTTTCAAGATATAGCTATTAGGAATTATGCTGCTATAAACATGGGTATGCAAATATCACTGTACCACGACATCTTTGGGGTGGGTACTACCATGTCTTTTAACTCTGGAGGGTATATACCAAGAAGGGGAATGGCTGGGTCGAATAGAATTTATAGTTTCAGTTTTTTGAGGAAGTCTCCATACTGGTATCTATAGTAATGTCACTAGTTCACATTCCCACCAACAGATCAACTGCTTTTTAAAATTATCAACTATTATACACACTGTTTACAAAAGCTATACCTAACAACAAATAACCCAGGAAGACCGAATATTTTAAAAATAGAAAATAGCTGGGTCAAATGCTTAAGGAAAAACAAAGTGTGGCAGTGCTAGTATGAGACAACAGAATAAAATACTGCACACTGATGAGGAGAAACAGCATGGTGCAGAGTATTAAACCTAAGTAAGACCTTGTGTGCACTAGGCAAGTGTTCTACTGCTGAGCTACACCATCAGCACTGCGTGATGATTTTAAAACACTAGTCAAACAATTAATTATAAATCTTTAGTACCCGACAGTTTATCTTTATAATGTATAAAAACAAAAACTGTGACATAATTCCACTGAAGTTTTCCAGAAACCTACTTTTTGAATTCATACTTAGCACATTTAATAGATACAATATTTAACTGAAAAAATGTTTCCAACAGTGTTATAGGATAAAAACCAGAATTTTCGGACAAATACATTTATATAAGACAAGCCCTGAGTGACTCAGTCTAGTTTATTGGAGAAGTTTCAAATGTAAAAAGTGAAAAACTCCTTTTCCTAGTATGTAATAGTAAATTACATCAAAATTAAGAAACACTAAGGCTGGGGATTTAGCTCAGTGGCTCCATCACAGCCTCCTCGTAGGCAAGGACCAGAGTTCAATCCCCAGTACAAAAAAAAAGAAACACTATTAACTTCAGAAAAATATCCATTAAAAAAAGGAAAGAAAGAAAAAAAAATCATACTAGCTAAGGTACATGTTATCCTTCCTGAATCTAGGGAAAGCTAAATACAGTATACGTTTAAGATATAAATTCTAGGGCCAGGGATTTAGCTCAGTGGTTCTATCACCTGCCTCACAAGCACAGGGTCTGAATTTGATCCCCAGTACCCTCCCCCAAAAAAGATATAAACTCTAGAGTCTAATAAACTTGTTTGCTACCTCAAGTTTTACAACTGAAGGGCTTGGAATGTAGCTCAGTGGTGTTGCGCCTGCCTCACAAGTGCAAGGTCCTGAGCTCAATCCCCAGGACCGCCCCCCAAAAATCAGAAAGTTTTACAAGTGACATTTAAGATCCAAGATTTAGTTTGTCAATTTGGCTTTTTTCATTTATTTTGGTTTTCTCTTTCCTTTTGGGGGTCTTGTTTTGAGACAGTGTCTTGCTTGCTATATAATTCAAACTGTCTTGGAACTCATTATGTAGCCCGGGCTTGGCTTGAACTTGTGGAGTTTCTCCTGTTGTAGGTTTTAGTTTTCCCATCAGTTAAATGGGGATAATAGTTTCTAGTCCCATAAAACTATCAGAGGGATAAAGTCAAATACCACTTTATACAGAAGACTCAGTGATTCATGGTAATTATTATTACTGTTAAATTGTATCGGGGCACAGTGTGTACGGAATAGGTTAATATTCTTGGCATTATTTAATATATGTTTTATAAAGCAAACTCTGAACTTTAACATAAAATATACAATATTTTCCATTTATTTCTCAGAAATTTGGGTTCTCAGTTCCTAACAGTTTTAATTTTGTATTATAATTAAGATCCTTAGCAGAATAAGGTTGTTACACAATGTAAAGAAAATTAAGGACAGTATAAATATTACCAATCTTCAGTATCAACAATTTTTTTCTCTTTCAGAACGAGAAAGATTTTCATAGAGTGCATGTAAACTGTCAAACAAAATAGAATCTTGTCCTGAAACTACCCCAAATTGCTTGTTTACCACTGAGGAAACCAGCAACTTCTCAATTTTGGTTTTACTGATATATATGCCTAATATAAATTCAAAGGCATATAAACAAGAAACTTTTTAAATAATTAAAGAACAATCTTACTCATATGCTCTATGAATGTATCCTCTGCTTTTAAACCTGACTTTAGTTCTTGGTTTTCAAGTGGATATATGTATGAGAAATTTGAAGCAGAGCCTCCACTTACCTTTGAAATAAAATGAGGAACATTAAGCCTGAATTCCCTAAGTTCATCACAAAACTTACAGATGAAGAATACAACAAATTAAAGGTTATTACTTAGCATACTGGTTTATTCACATACACACACATCCCTTACTTGCTTCACCTTACTGTGTTCAATAAGCTTTACTCTAATACTACAGTTTCTTACCTTTCCATTAGCTTCTCTTTATCCCAGTTGAAGTGGCTAAGGAGTATTCTTGTGATAGTTGCTGGGTTCTAAAAGAGAGAAAAAAGTTATTTTAAGGTAACTATGTTTCACTGACATTTAATGAGCTTCTAGGTTGAATTTAAGTTCCATAATAACCCACCCAAATTTCCTTTCCTAAAACAGTTCTTTATTCCTCCAAAGAAATACAAAATTGTATTTGTAAGATCAAAACTATTTAAAAAATAATTTGTCACACTAATGTCAGGATTCTATAGGATTCAAAATAATCCCAAAGGAAATTAGCAAATTACTGTAATAAATCAGGCACTAACGGAAATTAATTTTTTATAATTAAGATTTAACAGATGGCAAAAAAAAGAACACTGCCACATCAGTGCACTAAATGTAATCAATAAAATGTCTATGACTTTATGTAGTAAACAGTTCCAATGAGTTCAAAGTAGCTGTACACCATGTAATAATGTGCAGTTTGTATTCAGAGTACATTTGTTTCTAGAAGGAAAAGCTAACACTAGGAACTCAATCCAGAATATACTGCCCTATCACTCAATGCTGTCACAAATTGTCTCCATATTTCCCATAAAATTTAGTAACTTTACTATCTGGGCATAGAATTTTAGTATATGTGCTGCCAAGTGGGCACTGGGCACAGAATTTTAACTAAAATGCAGTGGGAGCTAAGAGATTAGCACATCCTGACTCCGTCAAAGATACTTGTGTGAATTACGATGCTGGAAGTAAAACTCAGTATCTGTTTCATTTATAGTTCACATGTAATTTTACCACATCAGGAAGGATCTCCAGGTGTGCTCACATTAGCAACACATACATGCAAAGGTTTTTGAGAGTTAGGGATGAAACTCAGTGGTACAGCACTTTCCTAGCATGTCTAAAGTCCTTAGTTTGATCCCCAGCACCACCTCCCCCCACAAGAAAAGTGGACAAGTAAAGGAATCAGAGGAAGGAGGAAGAAGATAGACTATGTGGAGAGGGAAGGAGGATTTTGGAAAATGACCATCCCAGCAGGGGAACAGGGCACTGGAGAATCATTAGCAGTGAATAAAGAGAGCAATTAAGGGTGTCACCATGTAGAGATGCAAAGGCTGGCCGTCAACTCCCACTACAGATATTGGAGATCTAACTGTAGGTTCTGAGACTGTTGACAAAGTAAGTGTCCCCCATCAGAGGAGAAAATAGATAGACTTACCCTCAATAAAAGTTACCCTGGGCTCTTGGGCAGTGATGGGCTTGGGGGTACAAGAGCTATGTGGCCCATCACTCTTCAGCTAGAAAAACAGGTCCCACTTGTTCATCAGGGAAGGGCACAAGAGAGGATGGCCCCATCCTTGTTTTGGAATTGGGACAGTCGATCTTTCACTGCCCTTTTAAGCCCACACATGGAAGGATTTTGTAGGGGACCACAGATTTGGACATTGTTTTGCCCATTACCACACCAAAAGCAAGATCCAGGGGGTTTAGACTCTTGTTTAGGTAAGTGGCTTGACTGGAGAAGCTGGAGGGCTTCTCTATCAAGTTCTTAGTTTGAGAGACTCACATAAGACAGTGGTCATGGGGTCAGCTATAGGAGTTTAATCACCATCTTTGAATTTTTTGAGATCTGTCCTGATGTTAGGGGCTGAAATGTGATGGACATAATGGAGGGCCAGTAGAGAGCAGTATGAAAATATTGGATAAAGTCTCCATTTTTTTTTCTCCAATCTGTGATCATGTTCATGGCTCCATCTAGAGTCCTGTCTAGGAAACAGCAATTGCTCAGGTTGATCATCATTTTGGGTGTGGGCCTTTTAGGTTATTCGGGCAGTCACTGTCATTTACTCTGATATTTCCATTTTATTTATTCCTTTGTTTCCGTTTGAAACAGGTTCTTGCTATGTAGAACCATTATGCCTGCCTCAAGAACAAAAAAAATTTTTTTTAATGAACAGGTGGGCACTGAGGTACATATAATCCTAGGTCCTAGAGACAGAGGCAGGAGGGTTGCAAGGCCAGCCTGGGCATCTAAATGAGATCTGTCTCCCAAAACAAAATCAAAACACCACAAGTGGTAACAGCTCAGTGGTACAGCCCTTGCCTAGCATGTGTGAGCTCCTGAGTCTAACTCCTAGTACTACAAAAACAATAAAGTCTCCCAGGGCCCAATAAATGTCAACTAGAATTTTACATTCAGGGAAGTATAGCTCAGGAATAAAGACAGGTTTTCTTAAACAAAAGAAAAAGGAAAACCTCAAGGCTACCACACTTGCATTGAAAAAAATGCTAAGCAACGGGAATTTGGCTCAGTGATTTTTCCACTAGCCTTGCAAACATAGGGGCCCGAGTTCGATCCCCGATACCAAAAAAAAAAAAAAAGCTAAAAGTTCTTAAAAGGCAAAAGAGAAATGATACTAGAGGGAACTACTGGCAAATAGGAAGAACAGCAGCAATGGTAAATACCTGAGTAAATATTATAGCCTTTATTTCTCTTGTTGAGTTCTTCAATACAAAAATTCTTGGAAGTCAAAAATTGGAACATGTTGCTGGGCTTGGTAAGCGGATGCCTATAATCCCAGCACTCAGGAGGCTGAGGCAGGAGGACTGCCCAAGTTCCATTCCAGCTTGAACTACACAGTGAGACTCTCAAAAACAGGGCCAGTGATTTAGCTTTGTGATCCTGTGCCTGCCTCCCAAGTGCAAGGTCCTGTTCAATCTCCAGTACCAAAACAAACAAACAAACAAACAAACAATAAATATATCAAGACGATAAGGGGTTAAATGTGGACAGATACAGCATATATGATAACTAATTGTACATGTATGTCTCCAACAACAAAGTTGCACAATATAGCAAAAATTGATGTGATAGATGACCATGTGTCTGATTGTACTGAAAGTCGCATGGATCTATAAAAACAATTTCTAGAGGACCGGGAATTAAGCTCAGTGGTTCTACTGCCTGCCTTGTAAGCACAAGGTCCCAAGTTCAATCCCTGGTACAAAAAAAAAAAACAAATCCTAGAATGAATGAGTTTAGCAAGGTCTCAAGCATAAGATCATATTACAAAATCAGAAACATTTTTACATATAAGAGTGAAGACCCGCAAATAAAAAAAGTTAAAGTAGGGCCAGGGATTTAGCTCAGTGGTTCTACCGCCTGCCTTGCAAGGGCAAGGACCCAAGTTTGATCCCCTGTACCAAAAAAAAAAAAAAAAAAGGTAAAGTACCACTCACAACAGCACCAAAACATTAAATATTTTTACATACAAATTTAAGTGGACTGGAGTTTAGCTCAATGACATAACATTTGCCCAGCAAATTTAACAAAGTCATCAGGCATACTGGCACATGCCTATAATCCCAGCATGTGAGAAGCTAAGGCAGGAGAATTACCAAGAATTTAAGGCCAGATTGAAACTGCCATATTCTGATAAAACAAGCAAGAAAATAATAAAGCAGATTTGTAGACTGAGACACAACAAGGTTAAAAGGCTAATTCTTCCCATTCATTACCAATCAAAATTCCAGTAGGATCTGAGGGGGTGGTTGTCGGGGATGGAACTTGGGTCCTTCACTTGCAAGGCAGATGGCAGAACCACTGAGCTAAATCCGCGGATCAGGAACTAAATGCCCAGCCCCCAGCAGGACTTTTTTGCTGAGTATCAAAGTGATTCTAAAATTTATATAGGAACTATACAAATTTTGAAAAATTAAACATCATGTGACTACTAGAAAACTTACTAGTATTGGCAAAATGATGAATACAAAAATCAAATAGAATGGAAATCAGAAACAAATCCACATAGAGCCATGGATGTAGCTCAGTGGTGCCACACCTGCCTGGCAAGCTCAAGGTTCTGGGTTCAATCCCTAGCATTGGGGGGGGGGTTAATCTACATAAACATTATTTTCATGAAGGTGATAAAACAGTTCAATGGGGAAGAAAACATAATTAAGAGATCCACATTAAAAGACCCCCTTTTTTTTTCTTTTTGGTTTTTGGAGAAAAGTTCTTGCTATGTAGTTCAGAATGGCCTCAAACTCACTATGTAGCCTATGCTGACTTAACTCACAGCAATCCTCCTGCCTCAGCCTCCAGAGTGCTGGGATCACAGGTGTGGGCCACTACACCCAGCCTAAAAGGCTTACTTTAACTATATACTTCATTCTCTACACAAAATTCATAATGGATTAGGACTACATATAGTCAGGCTATAAAACTTCTAGAAGAAAATCTTTGTGACTTTAGGTTAGATGAACAGACAGACACAACACCAAAAGCATAACCCTTAAGAGAAAACTGATAAACTGGAATTCATCCAAGGTAAAAGGGCAGGGCCAGGGATTTAGCTCAGTGTTTCTGCCACCTGCCTCATAAGCACAAGGACTTGAGTTTGATCCCTGGTACCCCCCAAAAAAAAGAAAAAGGCACCGTTAAGAGAATGGAAAGACAGACCACAAAGTAGGAGAAAGTATCTGCAAAGTAAAGAATTTGTATCCAGAATATATGTATTTTTAAAATCTCTTAAAACCTAGTAATATAAAAAAAACCCACTAAAAATGAGCTGATACAGAGCCAGGGATTTTAGCTTAGAGGTGCTGTGCTTGCTTGGCAAGCACAAAGTCCTGAGGTTTGATTCCCAGTACAAAAAAAAAAAAAAAAAAAAAAAAAGTATGTTTCCATTTACAGTGGACCCTTGACTTACAAACACAATTTGTTCACAAGGGCTAATTATAATTCAAGTTGGTCAATTGAAGGCTCAGGCTTCTACAAAGCCTTCAAAGCCTCTCTCCTGTATATAGGCAGATCTCAGCGTACTTAGAGAAGACACTGCCCTGGGATTTCTGAACTCCACACAGGAAGGAACAGATGTTGTAATGTTCCTTCCAGAGCTCTTTAAGGTTAAATCTGTATCTGAGACCATCTGGAACAGCACAAGCAGCCAGCATCTGAACTGCAACTCAAAACTTTTTTTTTTTTTGGTACGAAGGATCGAACTCAGGACCTTGCACTTATGAGGCAGGCAGCAGAGTCACTGAACCAAAATCCCCA